ATGGAGTTGAAAGACCTATAAGTTTCATTTCTGGCGTATTAACTAAGGCTGAGAAAAATTATAGCATGGTGCATAAAGAAGCACTAAGTATTTATTGGGCAGTTACTAAATTTTATGAATATTTAGCTGGTAGAAAATTCGAGATAGTAACTGATCACAAATCTTTACAAACTTTGTTTGGGGAATATAAAACTTTACCTAAAATGGCAGCAGGGAGACTTCCAGAGGTGGTCTTTGTTTCTTAGTGGCTTTGATTACACTATAAGGTACATAAGCGGTAAAGAAAAATGTCAAAGCTGATGCTTTAAGTAGATTACCTTTGCCTTTGTCTGAGCCAGTTGAGCAGATTGAATATGATTACCTGAATTTTTTGGAAACAGTTACTGCGATTGATACTAATAAAATAAGGTCAGAGACTAGACGTGATGCTGTTCTGGGTCAAATTTTCAATTTTGTTAGACATGGTTTTCCTGGGCATACCAAAAATGAGTTATTTAAACCTTATTTTATTAGACAATCTGAATTGTCTATTGATAATGAAGTTTTACTTTGGGGATACAGGGTGATTGTACCTACCAAGTTAAGACAACAGCTCTTATTAGAGCTTCATAGCACCCATGAAGGGGTTAGTAAAATGAAGGCTAATGCTAGGTCTTATTTTTGGTGGCCTTCACTTGATAAGGACATTGAGAGAGTTGTGTCTGAGTGTCGTATGTGTTCTACTTGTAGACCAGAACCTAATAAATCTACTTTAATTCCTTGTGTGAAATCAAACTATTTTTATGAACGTATACATGCAGATTTTTTAGGTCCGATTAAAAATAAGATGGTTTTAATTATTATTGACACTTTTTCTAAATGGCCAGAAGCCTTTATCATGAAAAGCACTGATGCGGTGAGTACGGTTGAAAAATTTCGGGAATGTTTTGCTAGATTTGGTCTACCAAAGGTTGTAGTAACTGACAATGGTCCGCAATTCTGTTCTGATGAGTTTTCTAAATTTTTAAAATTTTAATGGAGTCAAACATCAGACCTCTCCTCCGTATCATCCTGCGACTAATGGTTTCGCTGAAAATGCAGTTAAAAATTTAAAAAGTAGTATTTCAAAAGCATTTAAAGAAGATGCCAATAGTGATGTCTCTTTTGAAACTCTAATTAGTAGATATTTGTTTCATTATAGAAATTCAGTACACACTACTACAGGTGTTACACCAAGTAGTTTAGTTTTCAAGCATAAGATTAGAAACCGATTTGATTTGTTGACAGAAAGAAGTGTTAAGTCTGATAAGAATGTTCTAAATTATCCTGGTAAACGAAACGAGCTTTTTAAGGAGGGAGATAGCGTATTATGTAGAGATTTCAGAAACCCGAATAAAAAGGCTTGGGTCGAAGCTAAAATAGATGAAGTTCTTAGTGATAGAATTTATTTATGTAAAGTGTTACATGAAAATTTGATTTGGAAAAGGCACATCAACCAAATATTGAACAGTCAATTGAAACCTGAAGTTGATTTTAAGCAGGCAACATTGGATGATGCACCTACAGCCAAAAATAATAGTTTAATATCTGATAAGTATTGTATTTCCTCTTCTGTGACAAATTTACCTAACTGTGACTCAAAACCCGAAAATGACATTTTTGATCCAGTAATTGAACCCATTTCTAGTGAAGTGTTTAGTCCTAGAAAAATAATGACTGAAACTAAAGAAGCAAAGTGTTTATTAAAAGAAAATAGTAAGGTTGCTAGTTTGAATGTTAATGAGCGTCCCAAAAGAATTATAAAAGCACCTCAACGTTTAAATTTATAGGTAGGGTAGATTGTAGTATATTGGATAACTGCTCTTAGCATTTCATAGTTTTTATATTGTCATGTCAGGTTTTTGTCATTATTTTTATCAAGGTATATTTTTATTATATTCTATTTCTTTTGTTATCTTCACTAGTTACTAGCCATGGTTACGGGTTGTTAAAAAATAAACTTGGATAATTTTCCTATGATTATTCCAGAAATCCTCTTTGTTTGAATTCCCAGTTATCACAGTAATAATTTCAATAAAATCAGTATCTAACAAACCATTGTTGTACTCACTACGAACTCAATTACCCCTTGCTTTATCATCAGCGCTCAACAGACAGCTATTGTACCCTATGAATAAAAAACAGCATTTGCTTTTTTTCCCAAAATATGAAGCAAATGCTTCAGCCAGTATGAATAAAAATTCAAGCAAAACCTCTGACTTGAAAGTCGCAAGCAAAGGCTCCAGCAAAAAGCAAATACATACTCTTTTTCTTATGAATAAAAGAGAGTATTTGCTTCAAATTGGAAGCATTTACTCCTTGCAAAATGCATCTGCTCTAGAGCAGATGAATGTTTACTATTTTGGTAAATTATTTTCAAATATTCTTGTTTTAAGTTTTTTTGTAGATTGCATTAGGAGTCGTTAATGCTTGTTCCAGCCGCTCTAGTGTCTAAGATTTGTGGGCTTCTCCCAAAGGAGGCCAACTTCCTGGGTAGTAAAATTCCCACCTCTTGGGGGTGCTAGCAGTACCCTTTCAAGGTATTTCAGTATTTTGCAGAAGTGAGCAGGGCATTCACAGATCAAGTGTTCTGTAGTTTTTGTTGCTTTTTCACAAGATCTACAGTGGTCGTTGTCTTATCTCCATATTGTTTTTAATTGTAGGTGATATTTCACCAGGCAGTGAGCAGACCAACGAGTGTTCTGATGTCTCTTCTCTTCATGTCAAGAAGTTGTTCAAATCTCTTTGCTGAGATGGATATGAACCTTCATCATCTGTTTATTTCTTCGGAGAGGTGGCTCTTCATCAGTCCATTGAAAGGCTCTAGATCTTGAAAAGATGTTAAAGCGCCTTGCTCTGTGAGAGACGGTCCGCTTCCTTGTTGCCCTCTATGCCCTGGTGTCCCGGTACCTACATTAGAGCTACTTTATTTCTCCCAGTCAGTTGTTGGGGGATATTTCTACCCTCTCAAACTAGCTGAGCGTTCCACTTGATGGCTCCTAGAGCTTTTAAAGCAGCTTGACTGTCAGACAGTATGTAAATGAGCTCTCTTAAAAAGCTTCTTTTAAGGCACTCTCGGGTACAGATGTTTATGGCCAGTAGCTCAGCTTCAAATTTTGTGGGTGTTTTACCCATTGTTAAGGAGAGTTGAAAAGTTTGGTCCAGTTATTCCCAGACGACTCCTTCCGTTAGCTTCGAACCATCTGTGTGACTGTGTACCATAATGATGCGTTGCCCGCTTGTGGTAGCTTTGTGTTCTTCCATGATTGGCGTTCTTTTACAACCACTTCATATGGAATCTTAAAGTCCAGTGATGTTATTATTATGATGTGTTGGTTTCTTTTGATACTCGAGCCTTAGATTGAAACAACAGGTAGTACCTTTTACTTCATTTCTTTGAAGCATATGCTCGCAAGTAAAAGGTCTTCATTATTCATATGTTATGAGGTATATAAATGCTTCTACTTCTACCTTTTACTTGAAGCTTTTGCTCATACTTCTACCTTTTGCTTAGGAGCAAATGCTTTATTTTTATTCATACAGCTGATTGTCTTGAATAAAGGTGAATCAATTTTGGAACAGCAGTCTCACTTATCTGCATAACCGCTTATGTAAGAATATTGTGCTATTGCGTTCCATAATAATAGCGAATATAGCAGATTTGGAAATTTTGTATTTGGTTCATTAAAATACATTCAGTATTTGACGAAATTATTTTCCAGACGGCCAGAGCTTTGTTAAAAGTTGCAGGCCTATTGCAATAACTATTGATTAGATTATGTTGTAGACTGATTCTATACGATCATCCTCCCTGATAGGTGCTAATCTCTAGTCGAAAAGCTTTCCGAATAACTCATTGAAGTGTGGATAATAAAAAAAGTTTCCGTTTCCAGATAGGTATAAGTTTTTCAGCTTGCCATAGTTCACGTTGTATGCATTTTATGTTTAGTTTTTTATTGTTATTGTACGAAAACTCAAGTTTAATTAGATTGAACAAAACAGTAACATAAAACCTACAAAGGAGAGTAGCACAAAAGTAAAAAAAATGTTTTTAGTTGACGTTATGCCAACCACAGGTCATTGAATTGCCTAATAGTTTATTACCACAAACCATTTCTTTAAACCTTACCATAGCAATTAGAGTCTGGTCAAAATTTCCAATTGAAAACTGGTATGAGTGTGCATAATTCTATGGAGTATATAGAGCTAGCGATTTCACATAAACACACAAATATTTTTTTTCTATCTAAAAATGAGATGGTGAATGTAGTGCCAAATGCAATCTGGTATTAAGCATTTATGAATTCAGTGTCAAAGATAAAGCATTTAATTTGATAACTTACCCAGTTTATGTACAATTTAATTATAAAATACTAAAACCCAAACGGATATTTTGAAATAAGCTAGACATGTACCCAAAACCAAACAGTGCATGTCTATATAGGATGTAAAAAAATGGTGCAGTAAATTTCAAAGGGTGATACCCACCAAATATAAAGATTTGAAAATACATTACAATGAAGATATTTATGACTAAAAAAATAGATGAAAAGGTTGGTTTTTGTTTATAGTCCGTCAGTAACTTCCTGATTATTTTTTAATTTTCATTCATTTTAAGGCATATTTATGTTTATAGTATTACTCCTCCAAGTGTGATACCTGCACTATTTTTTTACACCCTATTTTTGCAATATTTAAATATAAAAATTCCACCAGAACTTACCAATAATTATGAAAAAAACAAATATTATAAGAAATTTACCAAAACGTTATTTAGAGGGTAGCTACAGCAAATAATAAAACATTAAATGACAACTAAAAATTGCAAATTAACTTTTTAACCAGTCAGTTACAAAAATGAGTGCATGAATTGATAATCTAAAAAAATATACAAATACTAATAACTCTAACTCTCTTTTATAACTGGCTCTGCTAAAAATAAAACTAGAATCAAAATAATAAAAACAAAGCGTAATACCAACCGGCAAGATGTCTACCTTGTCCTCCAGGGTACATGCATCTGAAAATTCGACCAAGCTCCTCTGCCTGGATTCGTCCTGCTGGAGTAAGTTCTCCGCCCCATTTGAGTATGAGGACTAATGATGGGTCGGCTGGTCTATCTACTAAAACGTTTTCAATAGGTAATACTAAATTTCAATTACGTAAGTAAGAGGCAACAAACCATCGTCAGAGCTCGAACCTCTAGGTCTTCCTTTTGGCTGATATTTCATTTGGACTTTTCGGTTGATGCCAGAGAAATGTCCATACCTAGATAATATGAGGTGTTTTCAGTAAAGTATTTATTTGCGCTTATTTCAATAAAGATTAAAACGATCCAATATGATAAAAGTATCATCTGTGTGAAAATTGATAGAAGCCTAATAATAAAAACATTGACAAATAATTCAACATTAGGTCAAGGAAAATTACAGTATTCATTCGACAACAAGACCTCCCTCCAAAGTCCCAACTATCAATAAAATATCACCAGTTGCAGTTTTTCTGAATTTAATACAACATAACATGTATTGATGCGGAATGTTAAATAATATAGCTTGGTGGATAAAATCATAAGAAAGGTGAAATTCCGCTAGGAAAAACTACTCTTACATCTAATTACAACACTTGCTGGAATTTTGGGTACGAATGAATATAAAGAGAAAATATGTGGAGTGCAAAACTTTTGTTAATTTAGTATCGAAACATCAGTTGCAAAATTATGTTCAAAATCGATATGGAGAACTATAAACTTGAGTTATTTATCCAGAACATATTCTTTTATTGGATGCACATGTTTGTATTCATCGACCATTAAATAATTTTGATATTTATATTACTGTTATCAAAGATATTTCAGATGGTATATTCGCGGAAGAATCTTAATAATAGGTGGAGAATTGCACATGGATTTTGCTCTGCACAATCTTTCCTCCGAAGTATTACTTCATCTGATGATGAGCAATGAGCTGACACCTCACGATTCAGATATGACAAGGTTTGTACCAACATCGAACACTACTCAAATTGACAACTCTTTCAGCAATAATCCTCAGGAGGATATTCCTCCTAGAGTGTGTCATACAAATGTATCAACCAGGAAAAACGACCCTCCAACAATCATAAAACGAATATTTTTCCTCCCAGCAATGTCTTCATTCAAAACTCTTCAACAGGATGAGAGACTTGACATAAGATCTATGATGTTGAGGATGTGACTGAAAAGTATGAAAGCCTAACAATTGAGTAAGTACTGAAATAAAAAACTACTCCAGATATAATAAAGATTTGAATGTAACTTACCAAATAACCAAAAATGAACATCACTTACGTGGTTATTGATCTGAAAGAAATATGTACAGAAAGTATATCCTAAAGTAAAAAAAAAAGCTTAAATGATAGTAAAATACCAAACTCAAAAAACAAATTCAAGACCATTGTGGTTTACTTTTATTACTCACAAACAAAGATCAAAATATTAACTTTCTTCTTAAAATTGAGAACAGCAAGGATATTGAAGATCCTGTTTTGATTGCAAATGCATTTTCTGATCATTTCAATTTACCATTTAAAATAGAACTTTGCCTGAGTAAATCTCCGAAGGGTAATTAAATTGTGTGCCCAATAAGCATAAGATGTAATGCATGGCAAAAGTGATTACGAAGAAAACGACACCATTTTTACTAGAAAACCAAGTAAGAAGTCAGTTCTTAAAAGATCAATTCAACAAATATGAAAAAATGTCTAGAGGACTGGACCAGAACCTTACAGAATGCTGATATACAGTGTTTCCACTTAAGTTCGCAGCATATGGGAAACTTTCTTATTATCAATTTTACGAAAAATAGTTATTCCTGATAAAAGTTTCTGCTTCTTGAAAAAATAATACTAAAATACTAAAACAGGGTGGTCAAAAAATAGAAAAATATACAGGGTGTTTCCTAAGTACAGTTCGTAACTTCAGGATGTGATTCATTACAATAATTTAAGAAAAAAAGTTCCCATAAACATGTGTCCGGAAATGCGTAGTTTCTGAGATACAGGGTGTCAAAGTTTTAGAAAAAATCCTGTTTTAGCTCAAAAATCCATTTACCAATTTTTTTTTTCAAATTTGGCAGGTCTTTTTGTGATAAGCAAAGGTATCTTTTAACTGTAATATGACTGCTGAATCTGAAAAAAATATCAAAGGTTGTAAAAAATAGTGACATGCCATTTTTTTTCTACTAATCCCTTTTTTTACCAAAAAAATCTGTATATTTTTCTATTTTCTGACCACCCTGTACATGCTATTCCAAGTTTTAATAGTTTAACACCATTTTTTTAAGAAGCAGGAACTTTTATAATGAATAACTTTTTTTTCGTAAAATTGATAATAAAAAAGTTTCCCATATGTTGCGAACTTAAGTGGACACACTGTATAAGCTTGAATATTATGGAATGAAAGAACCACTGTTGCCAGGTCAAAAAAATTAAATTCACCAGAAATTAGAATGAAAAATCACCAGATTTAAAGAAATCTTGAAAGTTGATTTTTCAGGAAAATTCTCGCCTTACCAACTAGGCAAAGCCTACTTTGTCCCTTGTCAAACAGTGTTGCCAACTACAAATTATAACAAATATTGTGTCAATCATTGAGGCTCGAATTCATACAAAAAAAAGCCCAAGTAGGCCTTGCAAATTTCAAATTTTCCATAACAGTAATTATATAAACATCGGCAACACTGTTGGGCAAAATGTCAAATATCATTTATGACAAGCGATAAGATTACTAGTTATCAAAAACTAATAGCGTTTTCCATTTGTCGAATCAGGGCAAAAATAATGTATCCCTATCCTTACATGTTACATGCTTTTAGAAAAAGATGCGGATACATTCAGTGCGGCACTGATGACAAATGGAAATCGCCATAAGTGAACCTTGAAGCAATCCTGGGCTCATAACAAGTAGAATTCTAATTTCATGACGTCACCCGCGACCTGGACGTTCAGTGAAGTTTAATTAACCACGTTTTTTAATATTTCCATGGAGTATTACTCACATAAAGCACACAAACAAAATTTCAGCTCAATTGGATAAATATTAAAATAGTTATGCGGCTTTGAATATTAAAACATTATGCCTCAGAAATTCATCGCTCAGAGATGGTATGACGTCATCTCTCGAGTCAAGACGGGCTAAAGGCCGTCACACGACCAACGTGAGAGATGCAGTGACGTCACCGCGTGTTTCAAAACTTTCAAATTTGGACCCCGCAATATTTAAATGGAAATTGGTTACCCGTGATATTCGGATGAAATTTAAATATGTTATTGGGAATGCCGTAAGCAACATTTTTTACCATGGGCACAACCCTGTATATATGACAGGTGAAGCGTGGTTAGCTGTCAAATATTGGAATCGTATATCCAAAAGTAGAGTAACTATGGCAGATTTTGATGAACAAAAAATTTATTTCTACTAAGTCGACCAAGTTGAGTCGAAAAATGTCAACCATTTTGACACCTGTCAAAACCTTGCCAAACGGTAGCAATCATCTTTTCCAGTTTTAAATATTTTATGATGAAATTTGACATTTTTAACTTGTATGTAAATTCTAAATTCAAATATTGAAAAAAAATTGACAAAACTGTCAAAACCTGTCATTTGCTTTAGTAGAAAAACTACTCTAATCTGGTTCTTTTTTGTTTCAAAGTAGTTTATTGGTGGAAAAAACATTTAACAAAGTTCATGCATGTCACATTTTGACAACTGTCAGAATCTGTTAATAGCTTTTTGGTTGATATTGGGTACATTCAGGCGGTCCCAGCGGCTTAGCTCAGTCTCTCAGAAGGAATTTTATTCTCGAAACCAAGGAACAGCGTTCTCATTGGAACGAAGGTGCTGTCTTTGTCGTCCGGCGTAACACTGACAATGACAGAGTAATCGTTCTTATGAGAAGGCTGTCCTTGGTTTCGAGAATAAAGTTCCTGCTGAGAGACTGAGCTAAGCCGCTGGGACCGCCTGAATGTACCCAATATCAACCAAAAAGCTATTAACAGATTCTGACAGTTGTCAAAATGTGACATGCATGACCTTTTTTTAATGTCTTATCACCAATAAACTACCTTGAAACAAAAAAGAACTAGATTAGAGTATTTTTTTCTACTAAAACAAATGACAGATTTTGACAGTTCTGTCATTTTTATTTTCAATTTTCGAATTCAGAATTTACATACAAGTTAAAAATGTCAAATGACATCATAAAATATTGAAAACGGGAAAAGATTAGTACTGCCGTTTGGCAGGGTTTTGACAGGTGTCAAAATGGTTGACATTTTTCGACTTAACTTGATCGACTTAATAGACATCGATACTTCGTTCATCAAAATCTGCCATAGTCACTCTGCATTTGGATATAAGATGCCAATATTTGACAGCTAACCACGCTTTACCTGTCATGTATACAAAATTACAGGGCCTACTTTGAAACGTTAAATTGCGTTAGGGTTACTAAATTTTTAGACTAGGGTTGCTACGTTTTAAATTTTCCTTCCAAAACCTAATAATTTTGTGAATTATAAAAAATCCTTTGCTAAAACCAGTTCAGAAAAAATGTATTTCTATCTCTTTTTAATACAAACTAGTAAAAAAAACACGAATACACTCAGTGCACACTAATGCCGTTGAAAATAATGCAAATTGAATAAAACAATTAAGCAAAAATAGAGCTTCAAAAGACGTAATTTTAATTTAAAAAAATCGTGAGTTTCGCAGCAACACTTCGCAGGCCCATAGGGTCGGGATCTTTTTAATTTACGAGCCCGAAGGGCCGGAGTCTACTTAAGTTACGAGCCCAGAGGGCCCGGGTCTTTTTAAATTACGAGTCCGTAGGGGCGAGGGTTTTTATGTGTGGTCACCTTCATCATGTGTACCTGAGTGCGTATTCTGTAACGCCATAGACATAGAAAATTCTTTCTAGGCAAGAAATTTCTTTCTATTATCACAAAACCTTATTCTGTATGCCAGTTCGGCAGTACTCGAGTCCCGTTCGGTGTTCGGTCGGCATAGAGAATTAGAAAGACCCGTTTAGGTCTTTCTGTAATGAAAAAATTATTTCTATCTTTTTCTAACACATTAACGTGAAACGTTCAAGTTCTGTTAGAGTTTATGTTTTGTTTATTAGTGGTTATGTTTTGTAGTTTTGTCAAAGGCAGGCCCTGCGATCTCTTATTGCCAGTAATAAACCACATAATAACTCTTTTCCGTTTTCTAGATGTCGCTGACAACAACA